CTTGTGCCCGACCTGAGGGTCGTCCCCGCCGTCCTCGGAACCCGACCAGTTGTCGGCGTCGGCCGACGGCTGGAACTGCAGGTGCTTGGCCTGCTGGACTCCTCCTCCTCCTCTTCCCTCCTCCTCCTCCTCCTCCTCCTCCTCCTCCTCCTCCTCCCTCCTCCTCCCCCTCCTCCTCCCCTCCTCCCTCCTCCTCCCTCCTCCTCCCTCCTCCTCCCTCCTCCTCCTCCTCCTCCTCCTCCTCCTCCTCCTCCTCCTCCTCCTCCTCCGCCTCTACGGTAGAGGGAAACAATTATTACGCGTTGGATCATGGACCCCTCGCCACGCATCTTGGCCTCTGAAGACCGCCAAAAAACCGGTGAAAACCGCCAGCGGGCGCGCGCCCCGCCGCAGGCGTTGGGGCCCGACACTGTCTTCGGCGGTCTTCGGCGGTCTTTCGGCAGTCTTCGGCGGTTTTCGGTGGTCTTTCGGCGGTCTTCGGCGGTCTGGACAGTGGCCCGACGCGGTCTTCGGCGGTCATTTCGGCGGTCATCGGTGTGAAAACAGGATATTTCGCGTTAGCAAGGGGTCTATGGTCGAACACGTAACAATTAGTGGACGCTTCCCCGCCCCCCAACACTCAAAGTTGGCGCGCGCGGGGAAGGTGGCGGTCGAAGTGCAGCTCATCCAACCCACCGCCAGCACTCATCATTGGGGGGGGACTGACACACGGATGCGGCGTGAGTGTTCGCCAATTTCTTCCGAGGACTGCGATGGGTCCAGGGCGCGATGGCGTCGGCGTGGGCTCCCCGGCACCGTGTGTGAAGGGGCCCTGGGAGACACAAAAAAGTAGACACAAATAACAGGATTCCCCTACATTTTCCCATATGTTCTGGGTTTTTGTCTTCCCCCCCCACTTCCAAAATATTTTCCTGTATTCTCTGGGAAATCGACGATTCATTGTGTCTGTATTTTTTGTTCCCTCCTGAGGGTGGGCCGCTCAGCCGTCGACGGTCGCGGCTTTCCGATGGCGCGCGTCGCTCGACACCGGCAGGTGCTGGGCCACCGGCGGAGTGATCGGCCCCGAGCGCCCGCGCCCAGGGGGAGCTGCCGCGTCAGCGCGGCGCGGGCCCACGCACACCGATCCCAGCCAGGCGAAGCTTGGTGCCGGGGACTGGGGAGCACGCCGCCCTGGCACACAGCGGAGTCGACGATCATACGAGCGATGAGGAATCCACGGTCGCAAATGGAACGTGTCGTCGATCCTGCAACTTCTGAGCTGATCCAGGACTCCTGTGTACTCCGAGGGAAGCAGTCGTGGAACGAGATGTACAACAGTAGCGCGCATGCTTGCAAACTGGTTTCTTACTCCATGTGCCCGTGCTTCTTTCACAGACATCCGCGTCACGATCTCTTCATGAAGTGCGCCCCTCGGAGCTCACGACTTTCGACTCATTTTGCATCCTGGGCCGTTTCTGAACAGCCACAGAACCAGAATCAGGCCTCTGGATGCCGAAAACACAAAAAACCTATAGCGCCACTCTCTCAGGGGGCAGAAAATCTCCCACTTCGAAAAACTGTTGCTGGGTTGCGCTCCAGCCAGAACCTCGAGGGAAACATTCCAGTGGAGATGATTGATGCCCGCCCCAGGAGGCCAAGAGTCGGGAGGGACAGAGGATATCAATGATATGCGTGCCGTCTTTCAGACGGCACGTGCTACTAATTCACGCGCTGTCTGCACAAAAAAACCCTTGCACTTCCTCACCACTGTCACGCTGATACGGACCCCCTCCGGCGTGACACTGACATGCGCTGCTTCTGTCCTCCGAATGGCAGGCTGGAGCACGTCCGGGAGCCTCGACTTCTGTTGTTCCCACCGTATTTAAGGACCACATCCCAGAAATAGTGTCGAGCACCCAGGAAAATATCAGAAAGGGTGTCGAACGAGTGTCGCCCCCCAGGGCCTGACACGTGAAGACCTCCAGTCTCGGTACTTTCGTGGTGCTCGAAATTATTCCTGGTGATCAAGGCTCGAGAATAGGCTGGAACATCTTAAGCTGAAGTCGGGCCTGTCCCCCTACAGGAGGATCTTCGACGAAAAAGAAAAGATACCCTAACAAGACGCCCCAAATGCTCCAAAATAGTAAAAAATAGTACCCAGACTACTGTTTGACTACTTTTGAATCTTCCCCCTGTAGAGGGACAGGCCCCACTTAATCATGAGCCTCGACCCTCCAGCCCCGAGCCTAGCGCCAGTGAGCCAGCTGCGCGCCCAAGTGACCCCCCTGGCAAGGGCGACGCCTGGTGCGCAGCTTCGGAGGGGCGCGCAGTGAAGCCGCTGCTATCGCTATGGAGCGGGCATTCCTATAGGCATATCGGCCTACCGCGACATGTTCTCAGAGGCCAAAGATGCCCTACGAACAAAAAACACATGTTCTTAGAACATGAACCCGATGTGTCAAAACAAAGCAGACTCAGCCAGTCATGTTCTGAGAACACTTCGCGCAAACCACAAAAAAGTTTCCTCGAACATTATTTGGTGGGCCTATCGGCGCGTCAGGACGCTTCGCCAATGCCTGACGCTAGAGGCTAAAAAACGAAATTGACATAATTGATCGGAAGTCCGCCCAAATTTCTTGGATCGCGCCAGGGGCGGCGCCAGAGGCGCCGCCAGGGAGGCCCAACGCCGATCCCAAAACATCCGCGCGCAGCGCACAAAGATTGTGGTTCTGCCGCTGCACCGCACTCAGCGATCGGGGAACATGACGAACGAACAACACACACCCATACCCATAGGGGCGGTCGTTGGGAGGAGGACTCGCTATGGGTATGGGTGCGGGTTGTCGGACCCTGGGGAACGCTCCCGTTCGAGCGGGGACCCCCATCCGACAACACGTACTCATAGCCCTCTCCGACCCCCCTATGGGTATGGGTGTGTGTTGTTGGTTCGTCAGAACACCCGTGCGTCCACACCAGAGGCCACTCCTGCGGAAACCACCCCTCGGTGGCGGGCCCATGGAAGCCGGAACCCCAGCATGCTGCCATCTCTTCGGGTCGCAGCTCGTACCTCCGACGGCCTCCGCTGGCGCCCGCTGGCGGAGCCGCCCTCGTTTTACTTCCTCTGTCCGAGGCTACACCCTATAAGTTTAAGCTGGGCCCGTCCCTCTACAGGGGGTATATTCAGAGATAGTCAAACCAATAGTCTGGGGATGATCTTTTGAGTATTTTTCTGTATCGCTGGGGTATGTTTAACCATTGCTTGCCTTTCGTTCAAAATCCCCCTGTAGGAGGACATGCCCGACTCAACCATGAGACTCGGCTGGATGTCTTGCATTCGCGGCGCAGCAAACTCTCAGAATGCCAAGGCACACAATACCCCACGGCACAGAGAGCCACTGCCCTTCGAGTTGTATGTGATGGAGCCCGAAGGGTGCGAGGCGGGGATTTATCCACATCCACCGCCTGGGAACCGACGTCCTGGTGCCCCAGCGGGCCAGGGGCCAAAGTATATCCATATCCACCGCCTGCCTAGGCTCCGAAAACTGACCCTCCAGGCGGTGGTCATGTATAAACTCCCGCATCGGGAAGGGTTCGCGCCGCGACAAGGACGACGAGTCTCTCGGCTTCCGCCAGCTTCCGCCGACCCTCCGCGGCCTCCCGCCGAGACAGAAGGCTGCCAGCTCCTTCGATCACCCCCCCACCGCGCCGAGGAGACCCTAGGCCGTCGCGGCCAGCGGCTGAGGAGGAGGAGGAGGAGGAGGAGGAGGAGGAGGAGAAGGCGGAGGAGGAGGAGGAGGAGGAGGAGGAGGAGAGGAGGAGGAGGAGGAGGAGGAGGAGGAGGAGGGGAGAAGGAGGAGGAGGGGAGAAGGAGAAGGAGGCGGAGGAGGAGGAGGAGGAGGAGGAGGGAGGAGGAGGAGGAGGGGGAGCAGGGGACGGAGTAGGAGGAGGAGGAGAAGAGGAGGAGGAGGAGGAGGAGGAGGAGGAGGAGGAGGAGAAGGGGGAAGAAGGAGGAGGAGGAGGAGGAGGAGGAGGCGGAGGAGGAGGAGGAGAAGGAGGAGGAGGAGGAGGAGGAGGAGGAGGAGGAGAGGAGGAGAGGGGGGGGAGGAGGAGGAGGGAGGAGGAGGAGGAGGAGGAGGAGGAGGAGAAGGGGAGGAGGAGGAGGAGGAGGAGGAGGAGGAGGAGGAGGAGGGAGGAGGAGGAGGAGGAGGAGGAGGAGGAGGAGGAGGAGGAGGAGGAGGAGGGAGGAGGAGGAGGAGAGAGGAGAAGGAGGAGGGGGAGGAGGAGGAGAAGAGGAGGAGGAGGAGGAGGAGGAGGAGGAGGAGGAGGAGGGGGGAAGAGGAGGAGGAGGAGGAGGAGGAGGAGGAGGAGGAGAGGACCAGTGTGAACCCAAGAGTCATCAACGATGTTGGAATCGACCCTCCCCCCAAGCTCCCTCTTCATAGGCCCCTACAGCGGGTCATTTCCTTTGAAGGAACTGCCTCTTTGGAAGACATCCGCTTGAAGACCCTGAAGCATGCCAAAACATTGTTCTCGGGATCCCACCGCCACGCATCAACCTGACTGTTGCGCCTTGGCAATCCTGGGATTTCAGCACAACGAATCAACATAACTGTTGCACCCGCATAGTCCTGAATCCGGTCAAAGCACCATTTCTGGCACGTTGATGATAGGAACCTGTGGAACTCTTGCCAATGTTTGAAACGAATGTGCACCGCGCTTAGGCGAAAACCACATTTTGAAAGCGAACCGCCCTCAATCCGTGAAACTCTTGCAGATGTTTGAAACGAATTCGCGCCGCGCTAATGCGATAACCACATGGAAAAACACCCCCCCTCAATCCGTGACGCTCTTTCTTCGAATGTACGCCGCGCTAAAGCAAGAGCCACATTTTGAAAACGACCCGCCCTCAATCCGTGAAACTCTTGCAACTGTTTAAAACGAATGTGAACCGCGCGTAGGCGAGAACCACATGTTGAAATCCATCCGCCCTGAATCCGTGAAACTCCTCCAATATGTTAACA